TAAAGACGAATGTATAGAGGACACAAAGGAAACTGTTATGTCAACTCAGGCTTTGATAACGCAGAAAAATTGGCTGATTGACTTGAAACAGAATCTGAGGAGGTACGTTATCACGTTACCTGTATTTGAGTTTAACTGTGGAAGATTTAACCTGAACTTGATCAAACTTGCACGTGTCGGTGATTGCAGGGAACCATCAATCGATCCTTAGGCGCGATCTGATGGGTACGTTAGACCCTAAGACTGGAACGAACTAGTGCAAAGAGGAAGGGTCATGGGGATCACGGGGGAAGATAGCAGTCAGAACACAGAGGGTCAGTACACAAAAATAAGTAAAAATGCCAAATATTGTCAAATTAGTAGATGGGATAAGTCAAATAATTGCAGAACGAAAAGCAGGGTATGTATGTTTTAGAAGAATGAATTTTACGTATGCTTATGGACAAGTATCACTCAATCAAAAAACCAGCAAACAATGTAATTTTTCATTAGTCGGCGGAAAATCAACAGGAACAAATCGTTTTTAAAATGGATTTTACGGTCTTACGTCAATACCGGCGATGTTTGAAAAAATTATCGACAACTTACTTAAAGAGTTCAACCAAGCAAACCCATTTATAGACGATATTCTAATCGCATCCCAAGGAACTAGAACAGAACACATTGCATTATTCGAGAAGGTTTTAAAGAAGTTGGATGTATCAAACGCCGCGTTAAAACAATGAAAATGTGAATTTGCAAAAACAGAATGTGAATGGCTAGGTTTCCGTATCGGAAAAAACGGCACTACACCGTTGGTTCATAAATCCCAAGCTGTTGAAGATTTGAAACCACCCAAATCAAGAATACAACTAAAGTCATTCATGGTTTCTATGCAAAGTCTGCATAAGTTTTTGCCAAAACTCGCCGAGGTCAGTACACCGCTACGGCCGTTACTCACCCTAAGCAATGAATTTGTTTGGACGCCAGATTGCGAGAACGCTTTTCAACAATTAGAATGGTTAGTTAAGAACATCGTAGAACTTAAACACTATGAGATTCACCGGGAAACAAGAATATTCTGCGATGCTAGCCACGACGGCCTGGGGGCGGTGTTAGAACAGTAAGATTCCCACGGATTGCACCCCAATTCATTCGCTTCGCGCTATCTTAATCCGGCCGAGAAAAAATTTTCGACAAACGAATTGGAATTAATCGCAGTAGTGTGGGCCACCGAGCATTTTCGCAATTACATCTACGGACGGTATTTCACGGTTATTTTGGATCATAAGGCACTTCTCACTTTGCTAAATTTATCACCAAATGGAAACAAAACATTCATCACTAGGCTAACTCGATGGTACGATTGTCTGTTACCATATGGTTTTAAAGTTGAACATCGACAGGGGTCAAAAATAGGAACGGAGGATTACTTGTCTCGTTTCCCGTTAGCAGCCGAACTCCAAACAAGTCATTATGATGAAAATTTTACAGCAGCGAAATTAGAAATGATCAACGAAGCTTTAAAATTTAGTAACCAGTTAAATCCTAGGGGTCTAAAAATGAAATCAAATTTGAAAAAAAAAACGACGGCAGGGGGCGTAGGATCATGTTCTTTCTCAAACGAGAGTATATTATCCAATAAAACTCAAGATAAATTAGAATATGCAAATTTTAACCGTGAGTGCAAGCGCTCACTAGAGGGCGTGGCTGCATCCAACCGACAGTCAGCCAACCAGAGACAAGAAATTTGCATACCGAAGGAAATGTGCAAATCACGAATCCAACGAAACAGACGTTGTTCTTTTTCCGCCAAATACAGTTACTCTTTAAATCAAAATCACAAAACAGTCAAAATCATGTCAAGTACTAATTCACCAGAAAAAATTGATCCTAAGCCACCTTCTACAAATACATATACACAGTCCGGAAAGGTAAACTTAAATGTCGTACTAAATAGAGTCCAAAATCGGCCGCCTAGCCTCAGTTCACATTCAGACATAGAAATTATCCCACCAGAAAAAGTTGTGCCTAAAAGAAATTCTTCGAAAAAATTAAATACTGTCATTTCATTCCCTCATCAACTCCCTGGCTTGTCTTAAGCCGTTGTAAATAGTGAAAAACGGGTTTTTTGGATAGTCCCAACTGAATGCAAGACACTCAAGAAGATCGATTACCCTGAAATTCTTAACTTAAAGCTCGTGGAGGCAAATTTGGAAAAAATTCTATTCTGAGACGCAATACGGGACAGGAACCCACGTGCAAAAGAAATCATCGCTATGCTCGGATAATACTACGCCCAACATTATAACGACTTTGCAGTGCATGAGAATTGCTTGTGGATGGACGCCCGTTTGGCCATACCGAAGGATATGTCCACATCAGTACTGAACCGACTACACCACAATCAAAATTGTTCGCGGCGGCGAAGGACGTCCGGATCCCGCTCATGCATCGTAATCTCGCGGCGACAGCAAAATACTTCAAAAGTTGTTTAAAAGCAGGTGAAAACCTTAAACCGGACATCCCTAAAAGTAATATTGGGACAACGTATGTATCCAAGGAACCTAATGACTTGGTCCAATTGGATACCTGGAGTTCGGTAATTTATGTACAGGATCGGATGAAAAACGTTTTTAGTAGCAATAGATACATTTTCACATTGGCCGTTGGCATACGTCTGCTCAAAAAACAAATCAAAAATTGAACTCAAATACCTTTAGAACTATATAAATACACATGGTCACCCAAGGAAACAACATATGGATCAGGCGGCCGGATTTGTTTTGAACGAAATCTTAAACTTCTGTAACTACGAAGGTATCGAACTTATAAAATCTCCAGTAAAAGATCATCGCGCAACAGGGATGGTCGAAAGAACCATCGGTTCAATAAAAAATTAGATCCTAAAATATCTACGGGAAGATAAAAATTATAATTTCGGGATGATGATAACAAGAGCATTAAGCGCTGTTACGTTTCGTACCGCATTTAAACAACGCCTATCATGGAAAAGAAATTAATAACGCCCTCCGGAACCTAACGAAAAACCATCACTTAAGAACCTCAACTGGAAGAATGTAATTAACCACAAATGACAATGTTTAGATAAGGCAAGCGGTCTTCCCGAAGTAGAGCTCAACTTAGGTTGGGAGAAGCGAAGCGACCTAGTGTATGCTCCCCAAAACCGGAAAACTCCTCGGGTGTTGGAGGAACACGAACTGGCAGAAGCTGATGTGAACCGCAAGAGTCGCAAGAGCCAAGTAAACCGCAAGAGCCGAAAACTAATTTTAGTGCTGAAGAAAATGTAAGGGACACTGAAATTACGAGAAAATAGACGATGAAACGAACACAGACGGCGCGAGAAGAGAGAAAAAGAAGAAAAAGCGGGTACTACAGAGCAGCGACGAAGAAATCGTGGAGGAGGACGATAATGAACGCGCGAACGAGAAACGGGACCAACGCGCAGTCACAACGAGTGGCGAAACGACTTCAAAAACGGCGAGCGGGGAAAATCAAGTTACCGAGGCGAGCTAACCGTCGGGCATGGAACAAGCAGGGCCATCGAGAAGCGTCGTTGAAAAGAGAAAATTTTCTGAGGAGGCGACGCGTCGATCGATAAGAAAAAAAAGGATTGGTTAAGATGGTCAGGGTTATGATTCATCGAATCAAGTACAAATAGGAGAAAAAAAGACAAGAAAGGACCCAGGAGAGGTCAGCAGGTGTGCCGAAAAACTCAAACAATCCAGCACTTAAAACTTTTCAATTAAAAATAAAACTGTCTGTTAACAAATACTTCTTGATTCTATGAGTACGATAAATTGTCAATCCTGGGATTTAAAATTTATTTGTGGTTGCCCAAATGATATAGGGACCAGTTTCAGTTTATGTAAGTCTTCGGTTTTCTGTCTGGGGACCTGCTCTTGTTACCTTGCGATCGCTATCGTCTGGCATACGCTAAAACAACCAAGTGCAAAAAGATTAGGTTTTTGAATCATACAGTTGCCTTAGAAATTTACACTTTCATTACTACACTTTTTGGATCTTCAACAAAGTTGCCTTTGGTAGATAAACAACCTTTGTCTATGTTTTCACTTTCTTCATTTCCTAAGGATTACTTTAACCTACAGTAGCTGTAAAAATCGAAATGGTTTTAAATTTGCAGTACTGTACCATTCATATCTACAGGCCAGACGTCGGTCAAAGTCGTTATTTTTTCTTTGACTTTTTCCGTCTGAGGCACTACAAAGAAACCTTGAAATAAAAGTAAATAGTAAATGAGAAGGGAGCTATGAGGGACAAACTTGGAATAATAAATATTAGGAAAGAAAGCTAAAAGCATAAACAATCCAATCCTCTGAACATGCTTCTTTCACTTGAAGTTCATATGGCCGTATCAACGGAAATATCTCAAACATCAACAGCTTGAGATAATTAAGCTTATCATAAAGAGGTGGCCACTCAACGCTGTTATTTACATTGCGGAATTAACTTTTATCTGGAAAATAGAAGATTTTAATCGAAACTTGACTAAATAATTTAACACACTAAGTGCCTAGGTCCAACCATCTTTGATAGCTTTGAAAGAGCCTTAAGAATCTTCAGGATCTTGGCATGGTTTCCAAGCTGACCGAAATTGGAGGATGATACACGGCAATCATTGATGAAAGAACGATTCATCGATGAGACAAAAAACGATACCAAATATTTTTACCAAATTGTCTGCACCGCAAGCAAATCTTTGAAAAAACAGGCCAAAAAGTTGGATTTTTTTGTCATAAAATCGCTTTTTTCTGGTGCGCGCTCCCCCCTCAAAGTTAGTATATATTGGGCGATACCGGATAATTTTGACTGATTAGTAAGGATCGAACAAAAATTTAGGCAGGCCGAAAAACAGATCCTAGTGCAAACCCAGTACACGGAGGTTATAGCCGAGTAGTGCAAACTGCGTACACGTTACTTATTTGGATTCAATAGTTTAAACAGCACATAAAAAATACAATTTTCGTGCCACGCCATGTTGGTCCAGCCTCTAATATCTGTCAAAACTGGTCAATGTAAGTCTACAAATTTGTTCTAACAGTATCATTAAATAAAACTTGTGTAAAAATGAGCACAAAACGCAAACTCAAAATTTTCTTGAGTGACTGCTTTGCTGTTATTAAAAGTTTTCGCATTGAAGCTCTATAATAAATTGTTTCGCTTATATTCATTCACTCAAAATTTGTACTTTTTTACAGATTAACTTAAATAAGCAGTAAATCAGACATAAATTACGCTTCTGCAGGAGATGATAAGAAAAAGTTTTTTTTCTATTTTGAAAAAGGAGCGGCCGTTTTAATAAAACTGATTGACCTCCTGGCTATTTTCGATTAGGACCTCCCGCCATCAAAGGATTATTTACTACCGAATAAGCAGAGCAGGTTATTTCCCTTATTCCTGAAGTTCTAGAACAGACTTGTTTAAATAAGCTGAGCAAATGTAACCGGATCTTTAAATGTGTTTTGCCTTTGAATCGCAACCCCAAAAAGAAGAGTGACCGCGGCTCAGATAACAACTTTCTACAATTTCCAGCACCAATGAAGCACAATATAACCAATCAGGCAAAAAACTTTGCCATTAAAAATCCTTAACCAGGGCCCTAACCCATAATTTTACAAGCTCACCCTTTATTATTTTGAAAAAGCTTCTTAAAGAGCAGAAAAGACGTCTACAATACTATAATGCCCATGTAGAATTATTATGCCTCAGCATTCGTTCTTATCCCCGTTGTTACAAATTTTCATTTTTCTTAATTTAATCGGAGCTTCCAAATCAGCAATGAGACATCACCAGACGGTCAGGGGTAATTTATCCAGACATCTTCTAGAAGACTACGACGCTAACAGTGGTCCACTGTATAAAAATGAGGATATAATTAAAATACAACATTATTTATCTTTACAGCAGATTGTGAAAATCGATCCTAAGACGGAGACATTACATGTAAAATTGCACGATTATCTTTCGTGGGTCGATCAGTATCTCTCCTGGGACCGTGAAATGTTTCGAAATATTAGTCAGATTTCAATGAAACGTGAACAAATTTGGTTACCAGATGTGTTTGTCATCAACCAGGTTTGATTTTTTTTTCATTAAACTATTGGACAGGGTGGAAAAAAATAAGGGCCGTTTTAAAGATGCGTCAAACTTCCTAAGAATATTTTGTTCAGCGAGTTTCTAAGTTTGAACAATCCTCTGTTCATTCGACTTGATGACTTAATTTCCCGGGTTGACAAAAATGCTTATCATACTATTTCATATTATGAAAAAAGTGCTTATCATACTATTTCATAGACCAAAAAAATACTATGAAAATAGCATGATAAGCATTTTTTCCATTCTATGAAATATTATGATAGCATTTTTTCCATACTATGAAATTGTATGATAAGAATTTTTTCCATAAATAAAAATACCAAAAAATATTTGTTTTGAAATTTTGTGTTTCATCGGAAACGCTAACCCTGGACTTTTTATCATAAGAAAACCCAGAGTGTAACTGGCATTTACCACGCAGATAAACTGCATTTGGTGGTTTTTGCCACCCACATTATATTTTACATTTTCAGAAGGAATTATATACCAAAAATGCAACTTTTTGTATGCTAGATAATTTTTGGTTTAAAAATTTTTGTAGTTGAGAAAAAAAGGCCTGTTTTCTTACAAATTTATTTTTATCTTAGCAAATGAAATAAAAAAATAATAATCGTGTTCACAAAAAACACATTTTTGTGATTTTTGGATTTTTTGGGTGAAAAACTCATCCTGGACTACGTTTTAAACACAAAAAGTCAAATTTTGCATGAAAAAAATTTTTTAGCGAAAAATTTATATTTGAGCACAAAAGCAAGTTTGCAACCAAAAAAGGGATTAAAAATTTTTTTCCTCAAATTTGTGTTTTTGCTTATGAAAAAATGCATATCATACAAATTTCATATATGAAAAATGTATGATGAGCTTTTTTTGACCAAAATTAAAATCATGTTTTTATTGAGCTTAAAGATCCAAAGTTGGAAATAGAACAGAAGTGTTTCTCTAAAAACGTTTAATACAGTTTTTAAATTTTGTATGTAAAATGTATAATAAGCATTTTTTTCATATTCGCCATATATGAAATTGTATGACAAGCATTTTTCTTTTATGGACGTCAACACGGGTTGTCTAATCATTAATCTAGGCGGACTTGCTGTTAATTCTAAATTCTATGCACTGGTAAACTGAATGACATGTTTACGCTGAAAATCCGCATATTCGATGCGTTAAATTACAGCTTTAGATGCATTTTTATTGAATTACTACTTACAAATTTTTGCCTTTTTTTTCGAATTGAGAACCACAATTGTTTCCGGATTTAGTGTTGGGAGTTTTCTTGTTCTCGAAGATGAGGTTACTTAATTCTAAACACAGAAAATGAGTTTTTTTTTATTTGAAATTGAATTTTGTTTTGCTTTTGGCCCCATGCAAAAACTTTAAACATGCAAAAACTTTTGAGCATGCATCTTGGCGAGGCATGTTCGGAAAACCTATTACAAAATAGAACAAGGAATAGTTTATTCCGTCAATATTCTTGAGAAAATACAACAAAGTTTCTTTCAAAGTATTGTCGTTTTTTCGGCGAGGTGTGATAAAAAAGATCTGAACAAAAAACTAGATCTCGGGCATAATTGACACTCACAGAAAAATGAGCAATGTAAAACAACGACTAAAAAAATGCAAACATTTTTTCAAACTTTTTAGCTGTTTTGGAAATTTTGAAGCTTTTGATTCAAAAAGGCGCAAAAATACTAAGCTTATCTCTAGTAAGACTAAATGGTAAAGCCTAAATTAGATTATTGTAAGATTTTGAACCATTAAAATAAGCTATTAAAAGCCTGATCCCTCGCTTTATTTGCTCAAATTAAGAAGAAAAATCAAAAATTTCAAACCGGTTTTTCTCGACACTGGAAAACTTTTCTCAACTTTTTTAGTGTCGTTCGAGTCACGTTTGAAAAGGCTTTACTAAGATGGTTCACTGAATTTTCTAGAATGATTATTTGTAGTAGCTGATTTTGCGTTGAAAACAAAAAAAGAAAACAAAAAGAAGAAAACTACAACGCACCCTAATACAAAGTTCCTCCACGTTTTCAAATAGTTGGAACAAAAAATCGGATGTAAGCATGCAATTTTTTGAAAAAAAAAGTACTGTTGAACCATAAAATGTAAATCCATATGAAAGTGAAGGCTTAACGTGATAATTTAAAAAATTTTAGGTCGATTATGAATTCTGGCTTTCAAGTTCAACCCATTGATTTTTGTTAACGTTTGCTCAAATAATTACTTATTGATTTAATATTTTTATCGGTGTATACGAACTCAACTGCTGTCTAAACTAACCTGAAAAATTGGGAAAAAACTTTATATTTTTGCACGAACGCCGGTAAAAAAAACGGATTTTTTTTTGTTGAGTAGGGCGATGTTATTCAGTCAATTTTCGACTTTTTAACTAACCATTTTTGATGAAAAGTTTATATATCATCGGAACGATTTTATTGTCCGGAGCTCAAAAATGATGTAATAAAGCGGCGAATTAAACCGTTTCAAATTGATTTGAGGCAAGAAATACGGTCTTCTTATTAAAATGCCAGACGCTAACTACATTCGATTGTACTTTATCCGCACAATAAACACTTAGAAGCAAGGATAGCTGTTTGTTAAGCTATTAAGCAATTAGCTCAGAATTTTCGACCGCATTTATTTGAATAAGCTAGAAAAAAATTCTTTTCTTTTCTTCATATTAAGGTCCATTTAGTGCGTGGTGTGGATTGAGAACTATACCAGCGTGTAGAAAATGATTGAATTGAGCAATATCAAACACATTGGTCTGCAAAAATGAATGCCAAACAAAAATTGGAAAAAAAAATTAAAACGTTTTCAAAATTTTTTCTAATTTTCTTAACAAAAATTAAGGATTTTTCAAAACAAATTTGTTGCTAAATAAGCGGTGAAAGAAAAAATTAGTTTTTTATAGCTAAATCAAGTTTTGTGAGCCTAGAAATCTAACAAAAGTAAAACGCGATCGCGTTATTTGAAGTTAGACTGAAGCTAAAGCTCGAATTTAGACTAACTCTCGAAAATTTCTCTCAACACTAGGACAGTTTGTTTTCATATATCCACTTCATTATGACCATAAGATTGTTTTTCGAGTTGCTGATGATACAAAAATCTTCGTTTTCATAAAGTTTTGGAAAATGAATTGAATTATTCATTGCTGTAAGTGGAAGTTGACAAGCTTCTGACCTACACTGAAAAAACGTACTAATTCATTTCTTAGTCAAACTGAAATGTTTCATTGGCTTTTATTGTATCATTGCAAAATTCACAAAATAAGCCTGTATCAAAAACTTTTGTACCGGGACGCGTCGAATTTATGGGTCAAAGTGATATAAAAAACATTTTGAATTTGAGTAAAAATTTTACAATCATTGTTGAAAGATTAGCTATATTAAAATCCCCGATCATAGTTATGTTCCCGCTTAATTTGTTTAAATCCTAGCAAATG